CAAAATGAAAATGACATGGACACACATAAATATTTAACAAAAGTACGTATAAAAGGTGGAAGTGTATTTACGACCCTCTCCATTTAGAATCTGGAAATTTCGTTATCACCAAAATTACATTTGAAATAATCAAGCACAAGGGACACACACCATCTGAGTTTCACTTTGACCAGCTACTCAAATTAATTCAAACTTTGGCCTTATTATCTAATTTTAAAATCTATCGCAATCACTTTGAATTTGACATTTGAAAGATATCCACGAACTTCACACTACAGTTGTAGTATGAAGTTCGTGAATGCAATTGAGAACGCGATATTTTAAAAGATATTGAATGTACAATAACGCTTATTTGACGTTAATCGGAATTGTCTATGCTAAGTGATATTTGCAAATATATTGGAAGCTATTGGGAAATGTCAAATTATCTATGACATTTGTATCATTCGTTCCAAAAGTGATTGTGACTTTAAAAGTTACACAATTACATAAATCACTATCACAACCGTTATATGTTATATGTGTGAAAGGGTCTGTGATAGATTTTAAAATGTGTTTGTAATCCCTATGTAAATGTATTTTATTAAACCTCAATGCAGTGACAGCACTGACGAGGCTGATTTTATTATAGAATATGACAAAAAATGCAAAACTTTAACTTCTAACTATTGGCATGTACTTGCATCATACAGTCAACAGAAGGTCAGGTTATACAAATTTCAAATTTCTCCACGTATTTTAAACCTCAATACCTTAAGAGTTAAGTTTAAAATCAACTGGAAAAGTTTAACATATGGCAAAATGTGAAGTTGTGTATAAACACTGTTTCAAAGAGTTTTTATTCCTTAATAACAATTTTATTGTTACCTCCAATAATCAATGTGTAAGCTATGAATATGTCTTCGATGTTCTGTCATTATTGACTTCTATACTATTACGTTCTTCTGTTATTTTTATTTCTTTGGCTATTCTTGTTTTAGAGTCGTCGATGTTAGATACGTCTGTTTCCATTTCTGTCAATTTAGTTTCTTCGGTATCGGTTAACTTTTTGTCTACACTCGCTTCAGTTTCCATCTTAAAACAAGAGAGATATAATTAATAAATACTGTAATTAAACTTATACAATACTGTAATAACATTTTACAATCAAACATATTATTATACAAACACATATTATTGCACAAACACACATCAATATACAGACAGTATGTTAATAAATTTGAAAAACATCGAACAGGTTTATACCAAATTTTCAAGAATGAAACAATAATTCAATATTATGCTGATTTAGGTGTATAATTAAAAGTTTAAAAAGAACGACTTGGAATTAAAAGAAACTGCTACAAAGCGACTAACATTCAGAATAGGACCTATAATAGACTTGATAGCATCACATCAAATTATTGCGTATCTCTTTCTCTCTATATGCTTAGCTATAATATATATATTTATATATTTTTATTTTGGGCAAGTCGATACGTGACTCGTTATCCTATGAAAAATACAGCACGATGTGAGCAAAAGTATTTTGTTTCGATTGATCAGAAATCTTTATTTGCGCAGAGCAAATCAACAAATGCAATTAAACATACGAAGTGAGTCTTGTTTCTATAATCATAAGGTGTAAAATACAAAGCATTAAGTGCCCGTCTCACCCGCATTCAGCGGGGTTCAGGTGTGTGGATATTGATGGAACGATGGCGTGATATTTGAATCATTCTGTTTAGCCCACGTTTGCTGCCTTCTCCACAGGTACATCGGTGAGCTACATTAGATGGATCTTACTGTACGGGATGGGTTTAATATCTGAATTTTAACAAAATACAGTAAAACACAACTAATATCGCTTGGTTATTACATCATCCTTCCCTATAAATGTAATAAAATCACAGCCTTCCCTATAAATGTAATAAAATCTAATAGAGGCAATGTGTTATGATCCACAACGCAGGTCCAGTGCGAATTTGTGGATTTCAAACGACTGCAAACGCAGCCGGGACTAACTGCTTAACATGCAGCACTATTAAAACCACCATGAACCGTTGTGTGTGACCGAAACGGCAACTTATAGCGCGGTCACCTAATAGAGAGAACTTCGTATGTTGATCTTTATACTAATAAGAATTCGTCAACCTTTTAGGTTCATTTTACTATGACAAAATTGGGTAAATACATCTGTGCGAGCGCAATACTATAGCACACGAATAGAAGAGATATGTAATGCCGAGTACGAAATTAATTCTGTTTGGTGACAGTGCTATAGTGAGTTTTTTACAATGCATTATTATCATAAATAACACTATAGATAAAAAATTTAATTGTAGATATAAGGTCATCATCAGAATGGATATGCGCATACGAAGATTCATAACATTAAAAGTTGGGCCATTAGGCATTTTAGTTAGGCCAAACAACGTCCATCGGAATCTATACTAACATTATAAAGAGGAAAAATTTCCAACTTTTGTATGTTTGTCAAATCAAATGAAATCAAAAGTATTTATTCAGTTCAGGCTGTTACAAGCACTTGTAAAAGTCGAGAGCTGCGCCATCGGTTCGTAAATCTACGGCGGTAGACCTTGTGCGGAGAGGAACCTGCAAGAAGCTCTGAAAGTAGTTTGTAGGCGATCATCTTTGGAAATATTGATTCAACAATGAAAAGTCATTCACCTACGGGAGCTTCATCATTCGTGGGTGACACGCTATAAATTACGCGGGCGAAATAGCGGGAAGTATGCGGGTAAGTTATGTTTATTACTAAATACAAGCTCATGTCAATTGAGAACAGCGTAACATACCTCAGTCTTAATAACATTTGATGTATCCATGGAATTGTTATTTGATGTTGTGTGTCTGGAACGAGTTTTCTTTGCATATTTCTCCTCGAATTTTTGTATAAATTCTGCCTGATTCACATAACCTACTGGTTTTTGTGATGTGTAGCTTTTATGGACTGTAATATCTAATAAAATTCATAACAATTTATTAATGAAAGAAGAATAATATAAGTATTTTAATATTGAGAGCACGACGGCGAAGCGGATTACACATTCAATCAGTCTGTCTAATTACATGATTTGAATAATAAAACTTAATTATATTTGCATTTACCGGGTCAAATTATTATTCATTCAATATCTTTCAAAACAAATGTCGCGATTGCAATCGCTATCACATATCAAATGGTTGTAGCATGAAGTTTGTGAATATAAAGAAGAATGGCGAAATCAGATCCCATAATTTACAAAACCGTACATGGGTGGCAATATGACAAATAAATAATATATGATTAATAGATTTTATTTCTACAAAATGGTGAATTTTAATGTCGGGGAACCAAACTAAAATATTAAATGCTTTTTATAATTATCAAGATAACAAAACGTCTGATGATAGTGCAAAAACAAAACGCAAAAATCTTCTTAAGAAACGTTCTGGTCTACGCAGAAGTACTTTAATAATAAAACTATAATCTTGGAAGTGTTTCATGAATTTTGCGCCGGGCAATAAAATTAATTCTATTGCCTTTAAAGTACCATTAATACGCTTGATAATCGAATATAAATTCAAAATAAGATTGTATAGAATAGATTCCGTTCTCTTTAATTGAAAACCACACAATATATAAAAGGGTTGTAGTTTGGATGGTTTTTGAAAAATCGATCACATACGTCAACGATGTCAGAAGCGATTCTCAATTAATCGCGAGTTTTCCAAACATGTTCTATAGAGTATTATCTGTCGCCATTTACTGCTAATAATAAGTGAGATATGTGATGTAATGACGTGTACCGACTGAGCGAATGAACGTCAAATATATATTCAATATAAAATCTATATATAATATGAAATGTACGGTCTTTGAATACTTTCATAAATATTGATTTTATTCGTTCAAATTACGTATTGAATACTTGAGAAATAAAAAATTGAAAGCTAAGATACCACAACCGATTTAAGAAGATTATTGCCAGTTCTGCAGTTGATCCGATGAAAGGTTAACGTATCGATTATTTTGTTCTAAATAATCGATTGGTGGATTTTATTTTGACATGCTTGTTTTCATCTATGAATGTTCTATGATGATGATGGTGGAATGATAGCGGATGATTGGTTTGGTTTGTTTGTTGTGTGTTCGTTCGTGGAGTTTGATATTTATGTTAATATTCAACTTGAGAATTAAGCATGTTTCTTCGACTAACGTTGATATTTGCATTACTTTTGGATTCCGAATGGCAATCGATTCGGCTATAACAATAACAGTTCAATGTGTACATTGCCCTTTTTTGTCACTTTCAGTTGTAATGATTTAATTAAAGGCAAAGGGATCTACTCCACACAGTTTAGTCATATGTTATAAATGTTTCTTCTATTATAAGTGTCTGGATCTTGTTAGATATGTAATTATTTTAATCTAGTTTATTAAACGGAGTAACCTGGTTACCATTTTTATTTATTTTAACGTCCATTCAACGAAAAAGCAAAGATGCAATATATAACCCCACAAAGTATTTTATGCCATATCTTTTTAATCCCAACTTTTAAAGGAAAAAGACAATTATGTTTTTGTTAGTTTAGCTTATACCTTCAAGTACACGTTTATTTCATTCATGAACGGGACTTTAAAAATTCAGGTCCAAAGCTATATGGGAGTTCGCCGTTGTTCTTTGAAATGTCAAATTGAAAAAGATTGCAATAGATTTTAAACTGTTATAGCTGGGTGTTAAAAAAACAAGAAATATAGACAGGGACAGAGGATGGCGAATTGCGTGTAAAAATATTTTTAATTAATTCCTCCCAAACGATTATTGTAAGTTGCACATACTCAACTCTAAACTACAAAATGTGACTCATACTAATCAAAATTCCCTTTGGAGAAAATATTATAATTTTCATATAAAAACAAAACTACAAACTATAATAAGCACCAGTGTTTAGTACACCCGGTAGAAATGTATGGGTAGTATTTTCTCATCTCCCTCTGTCTCACTCATTAAAAATTACAGTGAAATCTCTTGTTTCATGAAAGTTAAGTTGGTTAAAAAACAGACTTCAACATAACAGCTTAACAACTTACCATTCCCTAGAATTTCCTGGACCATATAAGGAAAAAGCCAAACCACTAAAGGTGTCTCCCCTGAGATGTAATGTGCATGTTTGTGGTAAAACAGTAATCCGTCCATTGCAGGGGAGTTATTTTCAAAATATGGATAAGTCATCATGAACCTGGAAGTTATATTCAATACATATTTACAGATCTTGAACTATTAAGACATTATTCAGTATTAATCAAATGTAAAATAATATCTAAAGGGTTTTGCTTTATTATATATATTATTAATTCAGATTGTGTAATTATACATATTGAACATTCGACTCTTACTTGTTTAACTCATCTGGCGAACATGGAATTTTGGGCAATAATGAAAATTTTATTTTATTCTTTTTACTGATGACTCCCAACTCAGGATTTTCAACAAACTGTGATTGTAGCCAAAAGTATCGAAATTCAGTCTGAAAAAAAGGTAAATATTGTTAGGCTCTTTAATTATTAGTATGTTATTTAGATTTTAAATAAGATCATAGTTTGGAGTTCCAATAATTATGTGCTGCTTGCCTGCTTTGCTTGTAGTGACAGTGCTGTCACTGTCCACATCCTCTTTGCACTGGCGACAAGACTTATCTGCATAATAAGTCTTGTTGCCAGTGCATAGAGGATGTGGGCAGGGTTACCACAATTACTATAATAATTTGCTATATGTAACAAGGCTGTTTCACAAACATATGGTTGCAGTCTTAATGGCCTGACAACATGCCTAATGCAGTCATATCATGTAAACAAGTCTATATATGACAATACACTGCTCTTGAATGGCAAAATGCAGTAATTTAAAAATTTATATATTTTGATGATTGTATTCCAAAAACAAAAATCAAAATACAGGACTTACATCACAATCAGTCATGGGCTGATTATTCCATGCTAATAAATCCAATACATAGACAGTGCTATTCTTTTCATCATAGAAGCCGTCTAGTATGGAGCATGTATCTTTCTTTTTACTCTTAGGATCATCTGGCCTTGCCCCAGGCAGAAGAGATCGCATTTCAAATAGGAAATGTCCATATTTTGTATAATATTTTGTTCGACCCTGAAATGTAAAACAAAATTACTTCATATAATACAACTAAACTAAAAGAAAAATACCATAATTTAATCCAAACTTTTTCTAAACACATTTTTTTTTTTAAAAAAAAGGAACTACTTAATACCATACCTATACATATAGTTTTGTCTTTGGCAAAGAAAACTGTTATAAAAACAAAACCTGGAAGAGGCCTATATCCATAAGGGGCCATGACAAATGTTAAAAATATTGTTTCTGTTTTTTCCTTTTTTTTTAATTCTGTAGAAACTATCATTCTAATCTAATTGACCATGTAACTTAAAAACAAGATACAATAATCTAAAACCAAAAATAACTAAAACCAATTAAATCAGTACACACTGCTCCCACATAAAGTCATTCTAGTAGAACCATAGCAATACTGCTTACTGCTATGAGATTACTATTACTATGAGATTACTTTTATCATGAGATTACTATTAAGTAAATACTTACATGATTAGCAACAGCCAATACTCTTTTTCCTTTTGGACATGGTGTTATGTACCAGTTTTCTGCTAAATCTGTTGGCCTCTCAATCATCCATTCAGATAACATGAGAACATTATTATATGATGGTGAGGCTTTATTGAAACCAGCCACATAAATACTAGGCCTGTAATACACCTTAAAAAAATAATTTTCATATAGTAATATTTATTATGATACTATAGAAAAAGTTCAAGATACTTTTTATTAAATATTTTATCTATTTTCCATTAAAAATACTCACTTTTTTCTTAGACTGAAAGATATTATTATGATCTACAGCATTTACCAAATCCAAAATACCCCTAAATATATCCAATTTGGTATTTCTGTTACTGAAAAATAAAACAATGGAAATGATCATAGAAAAACTTTAAAAGAATGTTTCAAGGAATTAGTCATCTAAAAATGTTGTTTTTTTTATAATCAGTCTTAATCACATTATCAGTCTATCTAAATTCAACACCTTTTTTGAATTTCCAGTAGCTCCTTTCGACGTTCCTCTTGGTTATCCAATTTACCCCAATTTTTGTATAGCCCCTCAAAGGAGCTTGTACTTTCTTTATTTAGACTACCTAAAGTAGATTTCATCTTCTCCAAAACATCCTCCATTCCGACTTGCAAATGAATGAATCTTCACTAAGCACGAAAAAGAAAGAAAAATATTTTTGTGGCAGAAAGAGTTAATCTTGAATAATATATGGTCGTCTTATATGTTCTTTGCCGAGAGTGAATATATGGCCACAGCGGGGTAAATGATCACCAGCGATTGATTAATATCTAAAGGAGAACAGACGTGATATAAAAAATTTAATTACTATAACCACAAACTACTACAAAATGAACCAAACATCAAATGTTATCACGATAAGTTCGTTTAATAATCATTCTTCTTCATCTTTAGTGTGACAGCAATGTCTGACAAAGACAGTAAGGATCTTGACCAGTGTTGCCAGGTCATTTTTTTGTGTTACCCCAGACTTTGTCTCGATTTACCCGAGAGCATTAGATTAAGCATATTTTTAAAAAAATACCCTAAACAAATTCCTATAAAAATCACCCACCTTTAGAGAGCTAGTTGACCTCAGGACTCACAACTCGCTTTTTATAGACGATAAACATTGTTTTCTTGCATTGCAAATTCCAAAGAAAAGACAGTTTACTATTGAATATAGAAAGAAAGCCCTTTACTATTGAATAAAGAAAGAAAACTACAGATGCTTTGGGGCCGTTCATTAATCACATGACTTCTTTTTTCAGCAATTTTAACCCCCCCCCCCCCTCTCTTGGTGATATATGGTAAGGTTTAAGACTATACCCCATCCAAATCATGTGTAACAAATCATGTACAACAAACATACTACAGAATACATACGCCAACAAACTCCAATCAAATTTAGACTACAGACAATAGACACAATGGAAAAAAAGACAGGTTAACAAATTTATATGCGTTCATCAATTACTACATTATTGTTGCGTTCAGAAGCACCAAACTGAGAGTTTTTATGTCTTTGACAGTTGATTAAATAATATGTTATTAAACGTTAAAGCTTTCAAGCTATTACCTGCTATTACCCTAAAAAATACCCGCAGAAAATAAATTACTCCAAAAAATACCCTCGAAACATTCATACCCTGAAAATTACCCTGTAAGATCAATTTTACTCTAAATCTAGGGTAAATTACCCTAAGTTGGCATCACTGATCTTGACATTGACAGAGGACAACGGAGCAAAACGGTCTTAGTGAGGAACTGACTCGAGTTGACTTGATTCAAATTCAAGTAATAGATATGAGTTTGATTTCGGCTGCACGCAGCACGTTAATTCCGAATAAAGTAACATTATTACGCTGTTTGAGCTCGATGCTGTATTTAGATATTGATTGAGCACCAAGTTTTGTTTAGCAATTAGTAGACAACGATTTCAATCAAATCCCTTATTTGTGAAATGTTATGAGTGAATTCAAATATTACAAATCAACACTACCATGCTAGAAATGCTAACTCGTGTTCAACTCAAGTTATTTTAACTTATCTCGAGTCATATGTTTCGTAACTCTAGCTGACTGGCACATCTACTGGGTGCTTGGTAATACCTTTATAAACCCGAATATGGCACATAGAGTATCATGAATAGAACCCAAAAAAATCATCACTAAATCTGAAACCCAGTACATGACCTAGCTAGATGTTTAGTTTTTTCGAAGTAAAACTATATGCTGACAACCCTAAGAACAGCTGTTGTGTTGTATTTGGTCATCGACTCCATGTACACCAAGACTCCAAAATAACAGAAATTAAATAAATCTACAGATGATTGCCTACTGTAGTTTATGTATTCAATAACTAAGAAAATGTTAGTAGTAAATGACTTTAACCATAACACAACACCAATCTTCTGATTAACAGTGTTTCATAAACTATTATCTATCTATGCAAGAAGGAACGACAGAGACATACAATAAACGACGATGTGTATTGAGAAACTCGGGAGTCCGATGTGTCAGTAAGGTTCTGTAGAGTAATCGCTTTGAAGGTTTGTTATTTATCCGGTATTATTTGTCCGGTGTCATCGCCCGAGTGATCACCACACATGACACCAATTGACTTTTTTTAAAGGGTCATGTTAAAAATGAGGCTTTGTTGTGCCCTATGATTCGGAAACTAAAATGCGAGATACAATGGTAACAATTTACGGTACATTAAAATCTGGCAAATGGTTATGAGAGTAACACAGTCTGTGTAGAACGAAGATATGTGCTTTACGCGGTGGCCGTCATATCGAGACCCTGTACTGATAAAATGAAGGTGAAGTGCAAGTAATGTTAGCAAGTTTAGAGCTGAAAGAGTGATTTGAACTGCCTCTAGGTTGACGTGACTACTTTTCATAAGCTGAAAAATAAGAAAAACCTATGTACACATCATCATCTACAGAATTGATTAGTCCAAATAGGAAATAGCCTACATTTCTGATTTCGAACGCAAAAAGTTATCACTTAATCCGTAATGGGACCGTAATAATCCAATCGTTAAAAAGGCAAATCAAAAATTGTCTCGTCAAAACATAATCCACCACCATTTTTTGATAATCTGCGGTATAAACACGGCTGCACGTCAGGTTAGCATAATATGTCATTACCTATTGTATGGTGACTATTGATTTTTTCATTACCCCTCAATTTTTAAAAATATTTTAACCGAGCACAGTACTAACAGCACATCGGGTTGTACGAATCTGTCAAACTTCATATACTTCTAAATCGTAATGATTTGAAGGTAGAGTTTAAAATCAACTGAAGAAATTTGACATATTATAGTAGCCTAAAATGTAACTGTGTATACATAAAATAGGTACAATTCTGTTCTGAATTCTAGATACCTACAAAAAACTAAAAAACATGCATATGATGCGCCTATTTCACACACTTATTGCTTTTTCTAACTCTTTATCGGACATATCATGAAATGTCGGTCAAACCCCAGGATGGATGGCGGCGGCTCTTAATCTGCAAAACATACAAAACATCGATTGATCTGAAAAATTTTCAAAAACTTTGGCAGATCTTGTAAAATATACAAAAAGTTTGTTACTATATATATCTATTTTTTTCCCACTCTTTATAAATGTTATTTAAAGGAACAATATTAATATGTATTTCAGTAGTTTTTTTAAATATGCTGCAAATTTGGAATGTAGTTCTGTCTTTAGCGTAGCTTCGATGTCGAAGAGCATAACCCAAGTAGGAGACTGTCTTAGGTTTTGGTGCGCACAAATAAAAGCTTGTTTTTTTTGAAAAAAAAATATATTTTTTACTTTTTGATTTTGTCTCAATATATTGTTGCTCTCATAAAAACCGATCTAAAATGTTTAAAATAACCTAGGCTACACACTGCAGCTAAACTATACACTAATACAAATAGCCAAATATCAAGGTTGATAGTTGCTTAGCTTAAAATGATGTGACTTGTATTAGTTCACAAGTTTGTGTCTTCGAAACTGTAAGATATTTTTAAAATTGAATTTCCATGACAGAAAACGTAATTTTTAAGGTTATTGATACAAAAACCTATTTTTTAAAGTTTGTTGCTTGTATTATTATATGTAGGATCCGTTGATTTAATATATTTATTTGTAAGCTTTATTGATAATATAATTTTTAAGCGTAGTACCTCAAATAGAATATAATTATATATTTATGTTTGTTGGCAACCCTAGTTACATACAAATTCTTTTAAATGTCCAACTATTATTTTACATTTTTCTTGATTTGCGTCAATTGAAAAAAAATACATTGTTTCCATGATGAAACATATTCACTTATTAATAAACATTTTCAACAATTTAGCAAAATTAATGACTTTTAAATAGTCAACTTGAAATAAAAATAAACAAGAGTTGATTGTTTACGGTGTCGCAGGTTTACCATTTAGCGAAATTTTCCCATAATTAGTGGTAAATGTACACTTTTGAATAGTTCAAAAATATTTTTTTTCCCCTACCACTTAATCAGGACGTCTTTTAGCTAACAAAAAGAGTAAGCGAAAGAAATTTACCAGCTCTTTCTCATAAGTAATGAATGACATTTACATAAATCATGTCATTACGAAAATAGTACGTATTATAACAATAATAAATACAACTTTCAAAGTCTGTAGGACATAGGTTGGTACATATGATACAAATCGTAGGCTCTTAATTCCATGCATAGCGGTCTTTAAAATAATCTTCAACTTTATAATAACCTTTATTCATAGGTATGTTCTTTACATGAATTTTAAATTTATTTATGCATTTACCCAGAAATGATCCTCTGGTTTTTTAAGTATGAAGCTTGGAACGGCAACTCTATTTTTATTTCTTGTGCCAAGATTATGAACACTACTTTTTTGTGAAGGAATGTTTTCTTGCGTACATAATATTTTTGTAGATGTATTGAGAGGCAACAGTCAAAATATTTATTTGTTTAAATGTTTCTTTGAGAGATTCCCTAGACTGTAAACTATATATAGCGCACACTTTTGTGGAATAAAAATATCTTGAATGATAGCCACAGAACCCCACAACAATAGAAAATACGTCATTACACTATGAAAATAACAAAAATATACCAATCCTGCCGTTTCAACATTTGTCATGAGTCTTAACAGCAAAAGCTGCAGAACTCAGTCAACTTGACAAGGTATCAATATAAGGATCCCAGTGTAGTAGGGATTCTAATGTAATACCAAGGAACTTCGTCGATTCTTCCAACTCAACTTTTTCACTATTTACATTATAAGTGTTAACATGCTTCACATTGGGTAATGCAAACTTTATGTATTTCGTTTTATTCGAATTTAGCTTTAAATTATAAGTATCAATTCACTGTAGAACATTGTCAAGAGCATCATTTACATCTTCAAAACAATCATTACCCCTCTTAACTTTAAACACTAAAGAGGTATTATTATCGGCAAATAATATTGAACGTATTCAAAAGGAAGTAAAAATGTAATAAAGTAGCTCATCAAAAATTTATTCAACATAGTCATAAAACTTCGGATTTTATAGTCATTCAAAGCTGATTCTAAATTTTAAGTAATTATTTATAAGGAATCGTGTCGTGTATTGATACTAATTTGAGGTAAAAATATATTAAATCTGGTAACATCGTTGCTAGGATACGAGTATAGCAGAATGAGCCGAACACTTCCGAGTGGATTTCTATTCGAAGCCGAGGGTTGCCGAACGAATGATTAGGTCACGTGGTACAAATTCGAGTCTTCGTGGCGTAGCTTGTTCAGCTGCTCGTCGAAGCGGCTGTCGGACGGTCGCATTTCAGCGAGTCGCCGTACGATGTAGCGGCCATTTTTGTTCTTAGTTCATCATAGCGTGCGCATATTTTAATGTCTCTAGAAAGATATATAGGCAATTTTCACGATGACTATCATAGTCTTTCTAATAGATACATCAGCTTCTATGAACCAAAGAGCTTATTTGGGCGGACGCCCAACATTACTCGATGTAGCCAAGGGCGCTGTGGAAACGTTCGTAAAGGTACGTGCAGTGTCATCGACTCGTTAACCGCCTCGTTTTTGTGATCGATTTATATAGCGCGTGTTCGTGTGTTGAACTGATTATTTTTGTTGTTTAGGTTCGTCAACGTTCTCCTGAAAGCAGAGGTGACAGATATATGCTTCTAACTTTCGAAGAGCCACCCGCGAACATCAAGGTTAGTATATCAAAGTGAACACGTTATTAGAAGGATTTCTGTTTGTTTATGTCATCGTTGAGCATGTGACAATTTGTTGCACGGGGTCCACCTATAGATCACTGTAATCTGCAAACCAGAACATAACATACTGGAAAAGTGCGGTGCGAATCTACTGAAATAGCACGACGTAAACAGGACAAATCGCCGCCGTTGCTGCCTTCTGATTCCGATAGCACTCGCGATTGCGCTCTCTTCGCATTCCCATTGGCCACGCCAGCATAACAGCGAAATGGCGATTTGGTGGGAAATTCAAAACTGGGCGCGTAGTATAAAATCATGATAATACTCGTTTCGTCTGTTATTTTCTTTTGTAAATTCTTATAAGTCTTATTTCCAATTATATTCATGTCATAACTTATTAAAAGAATAATATATATAGTTACTGTGTAAAATTTGTTTCAAAATATTAAAATCTGGGTGTTAACATTGCAATTTATATGAAAACAAATTTAAATATGTATTTTTTTTTATTTACAGGCAGGATGGAAGGAAAATTTAGCTACTTTTATAAACGAATTGAAGAATTTACAATGTCTCGGTTTGACCACCATGGGTGCTGCCTTGAAACATGCCTTCGATGTTTTGAATATAAACCGTATGCAGACTGGCATAGATACATATGGACAGGGCAGGTGCCCATTTTATTTAGAACCATCAGTCATAGTGGTTATAACGGATGGCGGAAAATTATCAAGTAATGCTGGCATTCAGGAAGAGGTAAGCTATAAATTTTCAATTTATTTCTATAGTATTAAATTCTGTGTAAATATGTTTATTGGATATCATGTCAAAATAAGTATTCATGTGATGCATTGCAAGGTCATAGCAATGTAGAGTTGTTTATACCTATTATAAATGCACTGCAGATGTTTGACTGATATACTTACATATTGCAATAATTTGCATTGATTAACATAAAATTAATCTATCTTCTAAATTCCAATCTTACAATACAATATTAAGTATTAAAATGATATTAAATATTGATATTAGAATACAAACAAAAACATTTTGTAATATTTGTTTTTTATTAAGTTTTAAAGGAGACAAAACAGTTATTGTTGTTTTTAAAGATAAGATTATTATAAATTTTCTTTGGAAATTATAAGAATCTTTTTATATTTTCAGTTTAATTTGCCAATGAATTGCCCTATACCTGGGTCTGAGTTGACCAGAGAGCCATTTCGGTGGGACCAAAGACTGTTCTCATTGGTGCTTCGTTTGGCCGGTACACCTGCAGTTGAGAGAGATACTGGTCTTGTGCCTTCTGATTCTTCACCTATCGACGCCATGTGTGAAGTCACTGGTGGTAATTTTTTTTCTTTTTGACATTTATTTATTTATTATCACAAATTCAATGTAATATGTAATTTTGTACATTATTCATTCAGTTTTGAATGCAATAAACACTTGTGAAAGTCGAAAATTTGTTCTATTGGTTCATTAATCTACAATAGAAGATGTTTTTTTTATTTTCCACCAAGGCAAACTGAACTTAGTTCTTATATGACTATGGTTGTGAGCTCCTAATTGCCAGACATTATTTTAACATTATTTTGTGTAAAAAATATAAAAGAAAATTGTATGCTAACTTGTGATGGGTTAGGTTTAATCTCTCTAACTAGTATTTCTGTTGTTTATTAAGTGTCAAGGTAAACTATCAGCATGCAAACCATAGGAACACAAGTTCGCAATATTTGTTTATTTATCTAATTCTTTACTACTCTGTGATATTGCTAGTGTAGTAAGGAGGATATAGTGATAAGCATAATAATGATAAGACAATGAAATTTCGAGGGCCCACCACAACTTCCGGTCTGAGTGTCATGTAAAGTGAGTCGCTACAATACTGCATTTTACTATTAATTTTATATTTTCCATTTAGTTATCCATTTGTCCTCCAACATTTGATTATTAAGAAAAAAGTTTTTTTTTTTAAGTTGAGTACATCATATAAGTGAACTATGACAGATGTATGACCTTTTAACTCATCATCATTATCATCATCAGCCCTTTTACATCCCCACTGCAGGGGCTCAGGCCTTCCTTAAGGATGGTTAAGGAGGATGGGCCATGACCCTCCACGCTGGCCCAATGCGGATTGGGGGGTATTAACGACTGCAAACGCAGCAGGGACCAACGGCTTAACGTGCCTTCCGAAGCACGGAGTAGCTCGAGATAATAATGTTTTGGTCACCCATCTCGTGACCGACCCTTGCGAAAGTTGCTTAACGACTACGATCGCGGGCCGCGGCGCTTATCTACTACGCCACCAAGCTACTCTAACTGATGCTACATAATTAATCTGCAGTTATGTGCTATTTCTTAGAAAACTTTTATTACAGGACATTAAATTAATTTTTTTTACATCACCTATTTGACAAATTACCCTTTACAAAAGTTATACAACTTATGCATACGTAAAACAATGGGCTGCAGATCAATGAACGTTGAACTTAGTTGTTAAATTCCCAATTGCATAAAAAAATGGCTCTGTCAATGGAGAGCTTTCAAATTATTAAGTAAAGTCTACCTCACGAAAGAAGTCCCGCGGCATAACTCTTATTCCTTTGTAATAAAAGCGAAAACTTTGTGATCCGAGGGACTTCTGTCGTGTGACGAAATCTATTTGTTGTCTAGTTTGTTACGTTGAAGTCGGGATTATTTCAAGGTGTTGCTTTTTATTGTAAGAGTGGTAAAGATATTATCACAAATCCATGAGTTATGAGTAGATTATCCCGCTCACCGCTCACGAGTTACTTATACAGGTTGTTGTTACAGGACGATCATATTGTATTACGTCGCATCGAATGCTCATGCAATGCATCGACAGTCTGGTACAAAAGGTGCAGAGCGGTGTAGTGATTAATTTCGAGAAGATCGGTCCGGACCCGCCTCCTATAGACGGTGGGAACAATAGAGATGGTACTGAACAAACAGAAGATATAACACACGATGTAGATAAGGAAATAGATGGCGATGGCGATAGGAATGGAGTAAGTATAACATTTATTAAACAACTATTTTTTTTTTAACTTTAGAAAGGTGCGAACAATTTTAGCGGATAGTACAGTAAGTTTCAATTAATAATGCGCACGGTGAACCTTCGCTTGCTCGGAGTAGATCACTAATCTTGACGATAGCCGTACGTACGTACGAACGTACGATTTAAATCTATAATGACTCTTATTTCAATAAAGTAATATATAAAGTGTAAAATACTATGCATTATGCGTCTGTCTCACTTTTACACAGCGGGGGTTATGTGCGTGGATATTTGTAGCTCTCTCGACGACGCGATACTTGAATCATTCTGACTTGGCTTGAGTTTTTCTATTGGTTGATGTGATGTGTGTGCGCAAAGTTCGATGACAGAAGGCATCGTGACATGCCAGGCAATAGCCGCGATTTTTTGTCGATTGAAAACCTTAATCTAACACATTAAAGACTACATTGCAAGAGTGTTATCGTTTTAGCTTGGACGTTTTGGCGCCGATGCCACTTATAAAAATGCACTACTTATAAACATGCATCAGTATGCAAATTGTTACAGTTAACAATTTTAGTTTTAATAAAATTAGTACAAATTATAGAACTTTAATTATAGTACGAAAATTGTAGGAATCCTACAGAATTTATATTGAGCATCACCTTCTAATAATATGTCGTTTGTCCTAACAAAAAACCTAAAATATACTAAACTTAGTTATATTTTGAAAGTAGAATTTGCTCAGATCACTTTATTTTTTTTTATTCAATCCCATATTTTAATATAAAATAACCTTCTTTCTATTTATATATTGATAATTTAAAGATTTGCTTGTTTGTTTGCATCAAATAGGCTCCTAAAGTACTGCACTGATTTTAAAAATTCTATCATGGGTGGCAGGAAAACAAGCTAGTTATATAATAAACATAATTTACTTGTAGCGATGGAACGGCGGTCCCTTTCAAACGGGAATGCCCCCCAACCAAGGCCAAAGTGCGCCTCAAGCATGGCATTCTTGTCGTCGTCTTATCTACGTTCCAAGAACTGTCGCCCAAAAGGGCTTCGCTGTCGGATTCTGGCCTATACCCGAGTCTTTTAGACCCGATCCGAATGCACCGACTTTGGTGAGTGACTTTTAGTGTTTGGAAAATGCAAGTTCATTTTTGTTGATTTGTATGTGTACAATGTTCATCAGATACTGTGTAGATCTAAATCTGTTTTATGGACCATTTATACGAGGCCACAATTCAGAGAAGTACAGATATTCATTCTCATTGGATGATTGTCTCCATTTACATAAGACCAATACTGCCCTGCTGAATTCAGGTTTAGAATTTTACAGAATCATAGCCTAACTTACTGGATTGTTTCAGCTATTGGTCTTGTGTAAATGCCTCATTAGTTTCAAAACATATGGAAAGTCAAAACTTAACAAAGTTATCAGTGCTTATTTTAGTTTGTAAAGATTCTTTGCTTAACAGAAATAGTCTATATGATCTTTAATCGCTTGTACTAATTTCAATTGCTTGTAACATTGGTCAAATAAGAAAATGTTGAATCAAAAGCACTTTACTCATAATGAATTATTCTTTTAAGTAAAATGATTCAAACATTACTTACAATGATGGTGTTGTCTCTTTGATCTCCTAAGTCAATGTAGCAAAGGTATTTTTTATATTGTCTGTGTTCTACTTTATTATTCTTTAAAAAACTGTACACAGTTCTTGATCACACCACTAGTGGTGTAATCAAATACAACCTTTATTAGTCTTTAATGGATGGCACCTAAAAGTATCATCAGGTACTTTCGAATTTGTTATTTATTTAGTTGTTTATATATTTTGACTAATGTAAACTTGGGATTTGAGCAATGTATTGTTTCTCAGCCGCCTCGATCAGCTCATCCTGTGGTGAAATTCACTTGCTCCAGTCAGGAGCCGATGGTGATCGACAATTTACCTTTCGACAAGTATGAGCTGGAACCCAGTCCCCTCACGCAGTTCATACTTGCTAGAAAGCAGCCGACTATATGCTGGCAGGTTAGACATTGATATCTATATTAATATTTAGTTAATTAAAATCCTATAGTTTAACAGTCAGTGGCACAAACATCCATTAAAATGTTCATTAGTTTAAAGCGACATTACCCATATAAATTTGACATTAATTAGAGCTTAAAGTCGTCATTAAACCTTAATGGATGTTGATGCAAGTGGCTGTAAAAGGAGTTGATATTTTGATCAACCACATATGATGCTTTGTGATTTTAATACTGAAATGTGATTGGCTACTTGACTGTTTTGGAAAAGTTATTTTAAAGCTTTTGTATGATCATTATTCTTAATACAGAATGCTTAAAAAATCCACTTGGTCCCTGGCACCCTGAGATGGGTTTCGAACCTACGACCTTTCACAATCCGGGCGCAAAACAGGCGTCGTGGTGGGTTTGGATCACATTAAATCACTATAATTTCAATTTTTTTCCATAAAGTGTTATTAAAACATATTTTTATTCATTAATTTAACTCGATGAGTAGTGGTTGCACTCGCCACAAAGTCGTTACCGCTTAGTTTATTGTAATAAATATGTGACTTGGTTCTTGTAATCCATATATTTTTATATTGCATGTTAATATTGCTGAAATAAATAACTTGCAATTTATTTTAAAACAAAAAATGTGTACTAGATAATTCATTTATTCAAAATATACATTATACAGATAAGAAAAAAATTAATAAAAACATAACAGAGAAAATAATAACTAGGAACAAGTCATATACCTGTGTATAGCAGAGAGAAAGGGTCTAGGCTCAGTGCATTGAAATTGCTGATATGCCAGTGAAGTGATTTTCAGCCGTCATCCCAGCTGAGACGAGCAGTGTCCAAATCTTAGAAAAGAATTGTAAATCGAAATAACAAACAAAATATAAGTTAGACGAATAATTTTAATCAACATTTAAGATGGTTTTAAAATTTCTAATGTTATGTCACATTGTAATTAATAATGTCAGAAGGAAGTAAATAACTATTATTGAATTAAAGTTAAATTATTTTTTGTAATTCCAGCAAATGTCCCTTTAATTTAAATGTCAATACAGAGGTGAGACCTCTCAGAGGTGGTGGTATATCATTCCAACACTTGGTGGATTGAAATTTAAAACTACCCTGTAAATGCCGTCATACGGTGATGATAAGAAGCTACTACAGGCCGAACAGTTCTCATAGCAAATCTACTATATGTCATAAAAAACTTTAGTTTATTGTATAAATACACAAGCTGATGATGATTTATAATATTAAATATTAGACACGCGAAATGTAATTTCCCTCGAGACTCCATTCGGAGCATATTTGTCGAGTTTAAGAATGGAGTTACATGAGTTCGAGGAGGCACAAGAAAACAAAATCTACAGCAAGCGTTCTGAAATCGCTGAATCAGCTGTCGGGTCCTAGAAAGAAGCCTAGAACCAACACCTCATTAGCATAATTTAGTTGCACGAGTATTAAAGACTCGACCAGTGTTATGCGCGCACCTTCACTTAGAAACTCGCTAAAGATCTACTATCTAGTATTGTTTACATAAACCAGTTCCCATATATTTCATAATTTATTACAATAGTTGTCAAGTAGCCGAGTCTTCATATCTCTTTGATTAATCTCGTTTTCACTCTTTAAAAATTGTTTATATCAAACTAACAAAAAAAAATAATGTTTCAGGTTTTTGTTGCAAATAGCGGTTGCAAAAACTCTGAGGTCAACCATCCCTTTGGCTACCTGAAGGCGTCTACGAATCTGACGTGCGTGAATCTGTTTGTGCTTCCGTACAATTACCCGGTATTGCTGCCTCTGCTCGACGATCTGTTCAAAGTACACAGATGCAAGCCAACGCCTGAGTGGAAACTTGCTTTCCAACAGTATTTGGATAGAATGCCATCATACTATGTTGCAGTGAGTTGATATATATATTTTAGCACCATGTTTAGCTCTTATATCTTATGCTTGGAACTTTTATAAAAATATATTTACTAAGATATGTCATCTGCAATAATGTCATGTTCATGATTTTTTTGTCTATGGTCAAATCTTCATCTAAATGGTGCCTACAAAATTAGTTACCTAAAGTTTATTCTTATTGACGATGTTTATTTTCAGCCTTTACGCAGAGCGTTAACTAAAATGGGTGCATCAGCGCCTCTCCTTCAAAGTTTGATACCAGATACCCAAGACAATTCGCTCAGTTTCTCTGTACTAAACTACTTGAAAAGACTGAAGAACCAAGCTAAGATTGAGTTTGAGAAACTGTGCGCTGATGTCATTAATAAAGCCTCTAGTAATAACACACAGAAGGTAATTATTTTTACTCTTTACTATAGTAATAGTAAATAAAATTTGTTTCTGCTACATGACATCAAGTTCAACTGATCGACTAACTTAATCAATTTCTAATTAATAATATTATTTGTAAAACATTAAAATCATAAAAAATCGATAGGTATGACTCACTGTTGTTTCGAGTTTGTACATAATTATTAATGTTTCACAATTTATTAATTTCCTAAATACAGGCACTATAGAAGTTTAATATTATAAAACGCATTAATATTTTACAGATAGCGGAAAGCGTTAGAGTTATGCCTCGTTCACCACTAAAGAAAGACTTGATAACGCATCCTTGCCTTCAAGACAAGTTTACTGCACTCCGGGATCAGTTGAACGAATTTGGAGGTTTCGTGGTTGGTCTGTCTAGAGGACGGCATAAGACACAAGCGCACACATATAGAAACCCCTTCGATATACAGAGGCGGGATCTGCTGGATCAGGTAAGTTCTGTTATATTAGGAGATATGTTAGTAAAAATATTATAGACATGAGCTCACTTTAGATTGCGCTTATGAAGTATCAAACACTTTGTTAAGTAAGCATACGTTGCCACACTTATGTGCATTCTGTAGTAATTAAAATATATTGTAAAAAAGGTCGGTTTACAAAATTGGATTACTTGGAATTTTCTTCTGTTCCATGTGCCTACCGCTAGTATCTGATCAAACTAGACAGTAGATAAGGGTCAAGAAACCCAAAAATTACATCTGTCACATTTTAAACAACTGCCGCTATGTAGCGCAGAAATAAGGCACCTCATAGCACGAATTGTAGACGCGACTTTACGTATGTATTTGTATATATGTATTAGATTATGTTATTTGTGATTAATGTTAACCCAAATCAATTCGCTCCTTGACCATTTAAGAAAAAGTATTTTAAAACTTTCATAAAGGAAAAACGTATTTTTTTAATTATTTTATATAACAATCGATCCGTGAAAACATTGTCGCGTGACATTTCGAGTAGTGACCACATTTCAATACCCATCAGTACTGGTGCAACAAAGACGTTGACTTTAAGTTTATTGAAATGTGACCTCCCACGCTGCTGGCGTTTCGGTTCTTTTATCCAGACTATAAATTTATAATTTATTTATTGAATTGTCCAGTCCAGTAACCAATACATATTTGGTGGCAACTTAATTTGCATATTTTCAGTTTTTTATAAGGCATTAATTAAATTTTATCAGGTGGTGAGGATGAGGGCTAACTTCTTACAACCGTCGTTGGCTCATACGCGTCTAGTGGACGAAGACAGCGTACACTCTATGCCAGTCGCGCAGATGGGCAATTACCAGGAATATCTGAAGCGGATGACGCCTCAGCTGAGAGAGATCGAGTCGCAGCCAGTGCGACAACATATGTTCGGGAATCCTTTCAAGATAGACAAGGTAAGGTTATTCTATTATACTATTAATATTTAAAAAAAAAATACATATAGATGAATCGACTGACGAATACAACAAACCGTCAATATTTATATGCTTAATGGAGTTCTAACAGTCGGCGCATAATATTTCATGGAAAATCCACCAAGCGTCTCACGGAAGTATGTGTTAGTGCACGACGGATCATACGTCTATTTAATATTACTTTAACTAACTTTATTTGAATAAAGATTTTATCTAGTGAGCTCGGTTGAATGTCAAGTTTGTCTATTCTGACGTTCCGCGATGGAACATTGATTATTGTGTTCTGAAATTAACACGACTGATACTCGACGCATTTTCCGTCTGAAAAACTTCACTGATTTTAATAGAGATAAAGTAAAAGTAACATTGTCAATCTTCAGTTTCACCATTCAAAACTATATATTTAAGTGGTTTCGGTGAAGGTCTAACTTTGTATTCTTAATAAAAAATTGTCCCATCTGTACCTGGGGCTGGTGGATTTTTTTAAATATTTTTTTGTTAAGAATATTTTCCAGTATAGCATTGAATTTCAAATTCTAATTCATTTATTTATTCAACACAGATATAGGACATAGTAGAATAAAGAGAAACATACAGAAGAAAGCTTAAATAAAAATAAAAAATAGTGTCCCAATGTGTAATATTTCCCATCTCAGAGTACCTGGAACTGGTGGATTTTTAAGTATTTTGTGCATTAATAATATTTTCCAGAATGGTATTATTTATCTTTTAGTGTGTGTTACAGTATTTCAAAATTGATCAAATATAATAATTAGTCTTTGTGTTAACAGCGCATGATGGTGGACGAGGCGGACGTTGACCCCGTCGGCGCGGCGGTGAGGGGAGCTGGGGGTGGCGGCGGGGGTGGCGGCAAGAGGGGCGCGGAGAGGCCCCCCGCGGCCCCGCCCAAGCGCAAGGCGGGTCCGTTGCCGTTGCACGTGGTGGCCCGCCGGCCGTCCTCGCCCGCCCCCCCGCCGGTCGTCACGCCGCCCCCCGCGAACGTGCTCCCCCCCGCGCCCGCCCTCGCTCTCCTCGCGCCGCTCTCGCCTGCGTTGAGGAGACCGACGTCACCGCTGGCGCCCGCCCCGCCGGATTTACCGCCCCCGCGACCACCCGAGGTCAGTTTCATCAACCATTTTACGTCTGCATGAGTTCAAGCCTTCCTTATGGAGGGTATCGGAGGATGGATTATGTCTCTCCACCCTGGGGTAAAGCGGATTAGAGGGTATTGACGATTGAAAATGCAGACGAGACCAACTGCTTAACGTGCTTTCCGGAGCACGGATTTGTAGCTCGAGATAATTATTTATTGGTCACCCATCTCGTGACTGGCCCTTGCGAAAGTTGCTCAACAACAACGTTTGCGGGTTGAGGCACTTGTCCCGAGCTAATCCAGGTCAGTTCATAGGTTGAGAAAAGTGATATTAATTGTATTTGTATTTTTACAGTAAAAAAACTGTAACAGTAAACAACGTTTGGTCAGGTTATAACTGTGATCAGAAATTTTCAACATTACCTGTTACGTCCAATCAATTTTCATCCTAATCTGCGAAAATATTATGGTAATCATCTATAAATAACCCTGATTATGCGAGCGAAATAAGAATGGACTGTCAAACAGTCATCTTGGTTAGCATTGCGTTTCAAATTCAGGGTGTAAGGTGTGCAAAAATAGTATGCTTCAAGAAAAGACTTACTATATGGTGTTAATCTAGGTTTTATTTATTCATCGCCAGGAACCTCCAATCGTGGACACAGGTGGACCGGTGAGTGGTCCAGCGCCCCCGCCGCCTTCGCCCCCAGTTCTTGCTCCTGCAAATCTGCCGCCAGTTATCAAGCCTTTTCTCAATGGAGGTAAAATTATAGTAATATTAAAGAACTAGAGTAGAAGTATCAAAGTAGTACAAATGTATAAATATCCTTTAAAAGCTAAAGAGAAGTTGGGTTCTCAAGATGAGATGAGAACATGACACTTTGTGTAAAACATCTTTTTTATAATTTTTGTAGAGATAGCAACTGGTTAGGGAGACAAAAGGCAAATTGTCTTATTTCAAGTTCGCTGTTAGTAGCTCGGGGAATGATGTAGGTCAGAAGTTTACCAAATGTCAATTTTCCGTAATTGATTTTGAACTCAATCACCATTGTATTACGGTTTAAATCGAGTAGGAAAATTTGATATATTTGTGTAACTTAACGTGTGTTGACTATACATATGCGAAGACGCGGCGTAACGGGAATCAATCTTGCAATCTTGTGACTTTTCGATATAACTTGAAGCTTCCATGTCGCCGTCGACTATTGTGGTGATGTTAACGTGGTGTGATAGATGTCGCTGCACACCAATTCAATGAGGCTTTTGTTTTGGTACCTATAAGGATGAAGTGTTAATAACATATTACTTGGAGATAACATTCGTGTATATATTTACAGATGCGTATACGACGATGGGCAGCAAAATGCCGCGATCGCCGTCACCGCCCCCAGAGCCATTACCGCCGCCGCCTCCTCTACACGATACTCAGGAGTTGCAGATCAACGCCATATTGCAGGGCATTGCTGCAGAGAACAATTCTCATTCTAGACCTGCCAAGCGGAAAAAAAAGGTGATAAGCTCGCTGGCGTAGGGGGCCGTCCATTTATCACGTGAGGCTCGAAAGGGAGGGAGGGATTCGTCAAAAATCACGAAATATCACAAGGGGGTGAGGGGGTGTAGTAATATATCACGTGTATTTATTTTTTCCTCGACGCGCGATTATTAAACCGAAAAGCGACGTCAAAAATTAAGATTTTTTGATTGTTTTTTAATACACGTGATTTGGTTGAAGGAGCGAGGGGGTAGTCTTAAACCTCACCATGTATCACCAAAGGGGAGGGATGGGGGGGGGTCAAAAATGTTGAAAAAACATCAAACATCACGTGATTAATGGACGGCCCGTGATCGTTGTTGTTAAGCAAGATTCGCGAGGGTCGGTCACGGTATGGGTGACCAAAAACTTATTATCTCGACCTACTCCGTTCTTTGGAAGGCATGTTGAGCTGCATTTGCAGTGGTTAATACCTCCCAGGACCAGCGTGGAAGGTCATGGCCCATCCTCTTTAATCATTCATAAGGAAGGTTGAGCCCCTTCAGTGGGGACGTAAAAGGGCTGTTTATGATTGCTAGTGTTTGTAATATCAAGAAAGACCCAGTATGTCACTGATAGTAAGACCATTAGTTGCGAAAATTGTTGCTTCATTATATATTTATTATAAATTCAGTCTTCATGATATACATACCTATGCAGACATAAATAGCCCATCTGCATCGTAGGCTGTGCAGATGGTCATGGTCAGGTCAGGTATAAACAAGTTTCGTACAAATGGCTTTGTGAAATGTCGTAATTTGTAGAATGAATTGGGATTTTACTAATTTCAGACCGAAAAGCCGCCACCACCGCCACCTCTGGTAACCCCACCGCAGCCATCGCGGAAAGAACTAGCCGATATCAAGAAGCACAACCTCGACGTCCGTACAGAAGTTTTTAGGGCGATACGAAGACCGGGAAAAGGTAAACATTAATTGTTTAAAATTGGAAAAAATACGTTTTTATTATGGGAAGAAAAAATATATAAGGTGTGTTTAAGCATCCGATCCTAAAGTAGTAGAGCTCTTTTATGTATTACAAAAGAAATCTCAGCTTTAACCGCAAAGCATAGTACAGTTAACCTTACGAGGGTCAAACTGAAAGTTCTTAGAACTGGCCACTTATAAACAATATAATAAAAAAATAATTCTAAAATTTGAAAATATAACTCTTTGCCAATATTACTGAGTATATATTTCATTCATTTGTCATTTGTTTTACGATTTGGCGGCAAATTGAAAATTGTCTGTGTCACGTCATCATGAATTTAACACGAGAAAATTTTCGTGCAATGATTTTTTATGACTTTCGATGTCATTTAAGTCAACAAGAAAGTTATGATAGACTACGATTGGCCTTTCACGATGAAGCCCCATCTCGTGCGACTGTTTACAACTGGTTTAATGAGTTTAAACGTGGTCGCACTAATCTCACTGATGATTTACGTGAGGGACGGCCTTCTACGGCGACGACTGAAGATAACATCTGTGTTGTGCGGCGTATGATAGAGACTGACAAAAGAGTGACCTATCAACAGATTCGGACAAGCTTAGGCATCGGTATGAGTCAAGTGCACAAAATCCTCCACGAACATTTAGCGGTCAGGAAGCTTTGCGCCCGGTGGATACCTCATAATTTGACTGAGGCTCAAAAACTCCATCGTGTGGATTGGTGTCGTAAAATGATTGAAAGATTTAACGGAGGTGACTCAAATGCTGTGTTCGACATACTAACAGGTGACGAAAGCTGGATTTACTGTTATGATCCTAAAACCAAAAGACAATCTGCTCAGTGGGTGTTTCCTTTCGAGGAGTTGCCAACTAAAGTGAAGAGAGATCGAAGTGCGGGAAAAAAAATGGTGGCCTCGTTCTTTGGAAGGATAGGTCATTTTGCAACAATTGTGTTAGAGGATCAAAAAACAGTTTCTGCAGAATGGTACACTACCAATTGTTTGCCACTTGTCTTGGAAAAAGTTCGAGAGAAACGACCTCGCAGTAGGATCCTCCTTCACCACGACAACGCCTCGTCGCACACCGCCAAGCGAACGATCGACTATTTGGCGACATCAAACGTTGAATTACTGGGTCACCCGCCGTATAGCCCCGACCTCGCGCCTTGTGATTTTTATTTATTTCCAAAAATTAAAGAAAAACTTAAAGGAAAGCGGTTTATGAATGCTGAAGAAGCGGTGGCTGCGTATCGCGATGCCATTGAAGAGACCCCTAAGGACGAGTGGGCAAAGTGCTTTTCCCAGTGGTTCCATCGCATGCGGCGGTGTATTGACGTGAATGGACAATATTTTGAAAAGATATAATAAAACTAATAACTGGCTAATGTAATCAGTTTTTGATTTTCTAAGAACTTTCAGTTTGACCCTCGTATAATCGTCGAAGAGCCCAAGGTGATCAAAAGATGTGAAATACACAAGTTCAATTATATTTGGGCAACCAAAAACGCGTTTGATCTAAGCACTCAAAGTAATAAAAATATCTTTGCATTCTTATTAAACTTTATAAGGTAAATTTTTCTATTATAAAAGAATTAGCTATTATTACTGCCTCAAAAAGAAAAATCACATTTTCTATCCATAATAATAAGTTTCTCATAATAAAATTTCTGGTGGCCCTTAATAAAAGAATGACATAAGGATCATCTTATTATGCCTTTGCTGTTTTTCTTTCAAGCTTTGTATATTACAAATTTCGCACTTGGCTTATAAAATATTTGGTAATATACCTGATCGTTTAGTCCACATTCTATATGGAATTTTCTTTTCAACTGTTCCTTGAAAATTTTCTATGACATCACTGATAATGCATTTCATTTCAGATTACACGAAACTGTTCGAACATTTAAAACAATTGAAAGGTGGTGTGGATATAAAAAAGGAAGTGATACGAGACGTTATAAACGAATCGCTCAGGTTCAAGAGAAAGGCTCTCGCAAATCTACTAGAAGACTTCTTAGCAGGACTTGAGAAGAACGGCAATAGTGCTTCAGTAGGTATGAAGAGAATGGCCAATGCCCTCTACGGTAATACGAATAACAATCACAGCTAGTGTAAGTGCTGTTGGTAGCATATGAGAAACATTATAGCTCAATCCTGTGAAGTGTTTTGTTATTTATCTAAGAACACAAAGGTATCCGCGAAAATGTGATGTCTTTAAAAATAAATATATTTCACGAGTGTGTAATTGTTTTATATGGACTTCTAAATAATATATATATTGTTTCAAGAAGTTTACAATGGTTCTTTGAATTTTTAAAAGTCATATTGTGTTATCACTAATAACATAATATGGAAGAGACATTGACCTTGGAACTTATTTGCTTTTGTTTAAAACTGTAAGCAATTTAAATCGTTTATAAAATGAAGTACTACTTAAAGTTTGGTTTACTACATATTTATTTTAATAAAAATACTACCTACAATGCTTTTGAGGAATGAATTGTACAAATGGGACCATAGCGTGCAACGAATGTTATTATGGAAAATGGCTTCAAAAGCATTCGTTTTCAAAAGACGAAATTACTGTACTACAGCAAAACTTATATGATTATATAGAATTTTTTTGTTGTATAAGAAATCTATATGTTTCGGCTTTGGCCCTAGATATTTTTTTACATAATTGGACACGTCGAGAATTATCACTTTATATATAAATATAGTACATTGTTATCTATATAGATTTTATATAATAATCAATGCATGGCATTACAAATATACACTCTGTGGAATAGTCATTTTCTCATTGACTTTGTCATCTTCATATTCATGTACTAGACAACTTTTGTTACTGGAAATAGGGATTTATAATATTTCAACCAAATAAAATCGAATGTAGATGTATTTTAAAAAGTATTTGAATGTATCACTTCTTTTCATTTACAGACAATGTTTTATGATAATTTATTATTTATGGATGGATAATAACAAAAGTTTTATTTGAGTTACCAAAATTGACAAGTTTCTGCAATCGATTATGAATTCTTATTTTAATGCTTATATGATATGAAAAATTTTGAGAATTTTGACAGTTTCGCATTACCTGATATGCCATTGCCACTATACATATAAAAACACATTTTCGCGGTTTTAACTTAGTTAAACAAGGTGATACGATTTTAAATAACGAATGTTATTTTGTATTGTGCATTTGTTGCCAGTTAATGGTTCCTTAGGATTCAATGTTGCAATATTTGTATTTTATAGAGCAGTATATAATTAGTTTTATGTCTCGAATTTCCGAACTAACCATCATTAGACCTCGTTTGCATGTAAGATCAGCTTGTTTGATGATCTCAAATATCATTAACACCGCATTACTAACATCCATTACCAATTCATTAATGTATATATATATTTTTTTTTATTTAGGAAGGGACCTCCATTAGGTACATTTTTATTTCGTTCTTAAAGCATTTATTTATAAATACACAATTTAAAATTGTGTCAGTCTTCTGATTTTGTTAAATAAAATCTATTATCATTATGTTGTTCGAGGGATTGTGCTAAATTTAAAGGAAGCAATACTAAAAAAGGTGATTTAGTATAAAATTTAGACACGTGTGGAAAGTGACAGCAAAAATTGAGTATTTCAAAGTGTAAATATCCATTGTACATATTAGGATGTATAATAATATTACCATTGAGAATGTATGTGTAGGATGCTTTTATGCATCGAAAATTACGGCCGATAGTGTGACCGAACAAAATAAAGAATGGTAATTTTTATTTTAATAGTACTTATTTGAATGTTTTCAAAGTACTGAATGATTGATGATTTTTGTTGTTTGTTGTTGTAAACTTTAGATTCCTGTTGGATTTAAGTGATTCGGCCACATTATTAGGCGTTCGGTCAATTTGTAAAGTGTATTATATCTTTTTCTAAATAAATTATGATCCTTTTTGGATTTTTAATTTGTCGTTTTATTTTGTGCAATATTTTATGATACAATATAAATGTAATTCTATAATTTATGATCACGTCGGGATTTAGAAGGGATGTTCTGTATTAAGAGATCGTTTAGAATTATAGGTATATAATAGCTTATATAATATCGCTTACTGTTGCCTATTGTTTTTACTTGCTATTAATATAGCATTCTACTCCGAAATAAAACATGGCTATAGGACGTCGTTACATAATAATCGTTACGTTACATAAATAGTATACATACGTTACATAAGAAAAAATGATGGCGCAGTGGTTAGCGCGCTCGGTCTGCGATACGGTTGTTAAGCTACTTTTACGATGGCCTGTCATAGGATGGGTGACCAAAAACTTACTGTATCGAACTCCTCCGTTGCTCGGACAGCACGTTAAGCCGTTGGTCTTGGCTGTATCTGCCTGCCAATCCTCTGGGTCCGCGAGGTGGATCACAGCCCATTCTCCCTATTCGATTCCATACATACGAAAGGCCTGAGCCCTTCTTGAACATTAATAGGTTGCTGATGACATAATAAACCTCTCAAACAAAAACTATGCAAATTCAATAGTTAGATAATATATAAAATGGAAGTCTATTCTGTTTTATCTTTATCAGGTTTAATTTGATTGAACCCCTACAGCGCTGCGTTCTACGACTTCGTGACTATTTTTACAACTGAAAATACTGCTGATTCTTTATAAACAGCGAACAAGTATCTAAGTATGTTAGAAATTACAAGGGTTTAATAACATAGGTACTTATATTGGTCAAAAACAATTAACTTTTCTTTTGCTTAGCCGTAGTCGGGTAAAAAAGGAGTACCTATAAATGATATACGTTGGCGTAGTCAAGGTTTAATCATTAACTTCTGAGAATTCGATTCAGCTCTTATAGTATACATACCTATATTTCTTATTTCTCGTAATATGCGTTTGGTAGGTGATTATGTGTTCAAAACTAAAATAAAACACTTCAATGCGACCATATATTTGCCTTCTTTATATCTCGAATTAACACAATATTTTGAATAGCAATTCCATTTTAATCCACTTTATGCATAAAATGTGAAAGTTGCGATAAAATGAGATTAAAAATAAACATTTCTCTTCTACCAAGACTAGCAAACAATTTTAAGCCAATATCTTCTTGTCTGTTGTACTTTAATAATACCAAAAAGTAAATTGCTTACTAGTTGTATTGGTAACTTGTTACTACAATGAAATACTTTTAAATGTAGTTATACAAAATACTTACCTAAGTAGTATGTAAACACAGCTGTACTTCCGGTTCCTAATTTGCTGTGCTGTGCTTTCTATAACAATACTTCATCTTTATTACTATATTTTGGAATGCAATTAAAATAAATAATTTTTTTTTTGCAAGACGTTAGAGATACACAGGTATTCCTTATTTCGTTGCAATTATTGGGCAGGTCTATGCCAGCAGTGAGGACGTTGATAAGCTAATGATGACGATATGAAGGTGGATGTGTACTGGTCAATTTTTAAATAAGATTAGCTTTACACTCCAGTATAGCAGGCCAGTGTGCATACAGTACCCTTGGACTACGTGGGCGAGGCAACTATAAATTGGCATTCTTTTTTGCAAACAATTTTCAAATTTACAGCATAAGGCATTAAAACTGATTGTAGAGACCTGTTCCATTCCATTCTTCTTTTCCTCCCTCCTACGTTGCTCTTCATCTATTATATCGATTAAGGGATTTTCAATCGTTAAACAAAACACGTCAGTAGAGTCAAAAAACAAAATTATAACTGTAGATTAGTAGCCAAGGGCTGTAAGGCATCAATTGCAACGCGAGATATTTACCTACATATGTATAGTTCGAGGGTGCAATTGATGCTTACACCCGAGAACTCTTTAAATGTCTCTCTCTTTGAAAGTTTCAGGCAAAATATTGTTAATTACTGCTTCAGCTTTCATTTTCATTGAATCGGGAGTGCAGCTTATAACATCATTACTCGAAGAACTCATATATTTTCCTAATTAGCACGTGATTATAAAAAAAAAACAAAAATAAATTTAAAGTAAAAGCTTTCTATTCTCGCTTTTTTTCATTATAAAGAACTAAGTAAAGAACTTTTTAATTGTTTTTCAAGAAAGAAATTGAGCTTCGCCGTTCGATATAAAAAATTGATGACTATTATACTCATACAAAGACAAGGCTGAATAGCTAAGAGGTCATTGGGTTGAATGCATGATGTTCTATTACCAGTAAGATGGTAAGATCTACGCGAAATTTTTGAAAGAGTTGCGTATTTTTTTTAAATTACTTACATTATTACCCTAAAGCGCGTTTTGGTCACCTACAAGCCACATTTGGGGGAATCAGAACCTAATTAACGAATATGAGAGATGTAAAAGTTTTTTTCGAATATATTTTTCAAACTAAGCGTTACATTTATCACACAAACACGAAAAAAAAAATTTCCTGTTTTATCGCTTTAACATTCCAAGTAAATTATTTTATTTATATTTCCTATTTATTAATTTAGTTTTTAAGTATTTACGTTGAAGCAGCAAGCGTAGCCTATTTCTTGGAAATGTTTGTTAACGCACTTATCAGGTATTTGCTTAGGCCGTGTTCATGTATCCATGTTGTTTTTGATTTGCATAACATAAAAGCTTATCCACAATAGAATCACAGAGCGAGTGATTTGCATTGTATTATAAAATGTGAGATGGTTTTCTTAGAATATTTATGTAAAAAGCTTTTGAGTATTGAGATAAATGGCCAAGGGAGAATATTTTCGCACATAGGAATCCTTATTAAATTGTTAATAAATCGTTTTTTCTCCAGTTATTAATGTTTTATTTAATGCCTACTTTAAAAAAGATAACTGGGTTGGTTGCAACAAATCACTTTAAAAATAACAAACATGTTTTAAGTAAATTATGAGTTGCACCATTTGGCAATGGTAAGATGACGTCATAACTTTAACTGTTAATTACTCGTACCTATAACCGCGCAATGGTTATTGTTTTAGTATGCCAGGAAAGAAGTTAGTAAGGATATTGACTACGCTACAATGATATTGATTATAATCATCGTACCAATATTTTTCTTCCTTGATTGGCTAAGCTTTATCTTTATCAATTTAAAAGG